TCCTCCGCACTTGTTCTGAGTGGGCACTGGTTTGCTTCCATATGTTTCTGCATTTGATTCTTTAGTGCAGATTTTATTAATTCAGGGATTTCTTTTTTCATTTCCAATCTGAGGTCTTCTATATCTTTCTGCAGCTGTTTTATTTCAAAAGCGGTTGATTCATTGCTTTCAGCTGTGTGATTTCCAAATTGTTCTGTGTTAGTGTCCTCTGCACTTGTTACAGGTGGGCTTGGGTTCTGAGGTTGCATTTTGTTCCTTCTCCTCATTTTGTGTAGCAGTGTCTTCTGCCCTTTGTTGTATAACCTTCACACGTACTGAAGTTCAGGTGGAGCTCTACAGAGTTTGGAGTTATCCAGCTGCGTCTGGCTTAGGTCTGGCTGCTGTACTCAGCTCCTTCCTGCTGTGGACCTGGGCTAGGACTGGGCCTGGGGGTTCCCAGAAGTTGGCAGAAATTCCTACTGGGAGGGAGGAGTGGGGAGGTACTCAGGAGTGGTGGGGGGCGGTCCGAGGGGGTGGAGAGGGTCCGGCCCATGCTGCGCCTGGGCTGGGACTGGTCCCGCCAGTGCAGGGTAGCAGGAAGCTCTCCACACACTCACCGGTCCTGGGCTAGGACTGGGTCTGGGGGTTCCCCTAAAAAAATTATTACAATAAAAGGCACATTGCTGTGAATCCCCCTCAGAATACTCCCTTTGCTCCAAACACACGCCTCATTCTTGCTACTTGGGAAGCAGCTCTGGAAGGCCTGTTATGTACTATTAGTCACACTATCATGGCTGCCTGAATGTCTCAAACTGATTGAAACATGCACCTTTCATGGTTCCTTTGACTTTGGGATGGAGCCAGTAGTGGCACAGTGCCAGATCGCGTGGATGAAGGATGTGGGTGAGGATGCACCACGATGTTTTCATGAGACTGCCTATCTGTTGGGTGGCGCTTGACACATTCACCCTGGTTTTGATTGCTCCTCATAATGACCCTTGTGAAAGAGAACTTCCGGTAGTGCTTCAGAAAATGCCAAGAATGATGGGAGAGGTGTACTAGGAGTGAGGGGGATTAATGGCAGTGTGTCTTTTACTGTAGTGACAATTTTTAAATTTAAACATTCATATACTTTTTTGTTACCTCTTGAAGCCATTTTTCATGGGAAAAGAAATCTGTATCCTTGGAACACATTACTTGCCAAAGTTTCTATTTATTTTCTCATGAATATATCACATTAGATACAAGATGAGAAAACTTTACATTTAAGCATTAGTAAATGTTGCTTAGTAAGTAATCTGTATCTTGTTTGATTTAGGCCACTGTAAAAACTTGCAAGAACTGAATGTCTCTGACTGCCCAACACTCACAGTGAGTATAAACAGCTTTTTTAAACTATTGTTTCTATAAATGTTTCAGTGTTTTTCTACACTGAAAACCCAGTGTGCAAAGTGCATGCCTATGTGGACACTGAAGGTTAAAAGTAGGAAAAAGCAAACTGTATCATGCATTGGCAAGAACTTTTAGCCAAACTCTACAATGCTGTTATTAATCTTATAGATCATGCTCAGTGTTGGAACTCCTGCGAAGTGGAAACCCTAAGAATGGACTGTATTTATATTGCATGTGTGCATGAGACAGGAAAACTGGGTCCTACAGAGATGATAGGCTCATTTTAATAGTTTTCACTGCTATTGATAGCTGTCTGAAGAAGATTAAAATGAGCATATGTCTCTATGCCTCCTTCCTGATCCCTACCCCTAGGTTTTCCCTCTGCTCCAATCTGTTTTTTAATCTGTGAGAACATAATGCTCTAACAGGCAAGTCTGACCCCTTCAGTCCCACCAACTGCACACTCCTGTCTTCTGCTCTACTGGATTAAGTCAAGCACCCTAACATTACTGGGCCTTGGGGCCCCAGTGGTCATGCCCATGCTTCCTTTCCAGCCTCGTCTTGCCCCCTGCCTCTGGTGTGCATGGGATGTTTCAGCAATTACAGGCTACTGAGTGTTCCTTGCTGCACACACCAAACTGCTCCTTGCACCTTCACACACACTTGTGCTGTTATCTTTGCTCAGAATGATCTTTCTCTTTGTCCATGAGCAGTGCTTTCCTTTTTGACCATCTCTAAGGTTTGCTTTACCCATCTTTTCCTGTCCTAGAACACAAGTTCTGGGTTCACTCTGCTCCTCCAAGTCCCTAACTATAAAGCTTCTGCCTCCACTAACTCAAGGGACCAAAGAACAAGGGTCATGTCTTATTCTCTGTGACTGTCATAGCACATGGCACAGACTTTGGTATGTAGCACTTTTTCAGTAGTGTTTAAGGGATGCCTTTGATGGAGATGCCTAGTCATTAATGGACGACATTGGCTAGAACTGGACAGTCCTTCTTGAATCAATGCCTATGTATAAATCGTGATTAACATTGTAAGAGTTACAAGATCAACCTAGAGAGAATGTGCGAGGAATAGGTGTATCCCGGTGTATAGTCTTGAGGAATCCTACACACTGGAATATAAAGTTCACCCAAAGTGCATAATTTAATAGTTTCTGGTACATTCACAGAGTTATACAACCACCAGCACAACTAATTTTAGGACATGTCGCCCATAGACTCCCTCCCTTCCCTTACGTATCACCCTCATCTCTCCCAACCTCTAGTCTCATGCAATTCCTTATATTTTCTGTTGGAGTGATTCCCTTTCCTGAGTTACATCTGTTCTATCAGTGCTTCACCATCTCTAATTTTTATTGTACATAAACTTACTTAAAATTACAAGCTCTTTAAAAATCCGCCTTTAGGGCTGAGGAGATAGCTCAGCAGTCTAAGCACTTGGCTGGCAAGCACAAGAATCCAGGTTCGATCCCTGTAGCACATGCCATGCCGGCCCCGTGCCATGTTGGCCACTGAAATTGGGTGTGGTGGTGCACACCAGTAATCCCAGTGCAGGGGGAAGTTGAGACAAGAAGATCACTATGAACTGCATAATGAGACCCTGTACCAAATAAATAAACAAACTGTCTTTAGTAATTTATTTCCACAAAACTTATCCTCCCACTTTTGCAGCAAGACATTTTTCTGAAGGACAAGACATAAATAAATGTGTATATAAAGATATTAAAACCCTCAGAACTTGTGCACTCCTTGCATTTGAGTGGTTGTTTGGTTTAGGGATTTAAAGTAGTGGTCTGGTTTCTGTCCACCACACTATAGAGACCCGCTTTAGATTAAATCAGCTAAGTGTCTCCCCAGTGGCATATAGTTTGACATAAGCAAGCTGCTGGTGGTTTGGGTTCACAAGTGCTCCTAAGAGATAGAGGAATAGACATGTCAGAGGCCACATTGGAGGAAAATGTTCTACTGGTTGTACTTTCTCCACCAGCAAAGTGAACATGGCCTTCTTCATTAAGAGAGTTAAAATCCTTTCTACAATACTCTCCACAGGACTGCTGTGACTACAATGACTTGTAGTCAAATGGACTTGTTCTTTCTGTGGATATTTTAGCACTAAAAATATTAAAGATATCCTGATAGGGGGAATTTTTTTACAGCAATTATGTTTATTTTCTTTTGCATTAATACTGATTATGAATATTCAGCTTTGTTCCCTGTCACTTGCATGCAGGAAACAAGAAGTAGCTCCAGTAGTTTTAAACACAGCTGATCTCACGCCAGAGGGAAAAGATAGAGTGAAGTACGCAGTAGGCATTGCAGTTTCTTCTTGCCAGTAAGGTGCATCAATTCTTTTCATAGTTTATTGGATGAAGCAAGTCATACATACAAAGATGAGGGCAATATGCAAAGAGTATATATAATCTTGCCATATGTACTGAACCACACAAAGAAATATGCAATGGAAGACAAATATATATTATGAAAAGTAATGCAATCTACTATAATATTGATGAATAGACATCTTCTCTAGAAAAATCAAAGCTCTAAAACATACGTTCCAACTGAATCTTCAACAATGATGAGGGAAATTTTTAAATGAATTAATTTTTATGCAGTTCTTGCCCTCACAGACAGCTTCAGTTTGAACCAGATTTTTAAAGATCATATTCTTTGAATTCTGGTTTTCTAGTAGGAAAGCCAAAGCGATACATCTGTGTTGAATTTGTGAGCGCCAGAGTCTTGTTCATTTGGAGTCCTGAAGGGCTCAGAATCTCAGCTAGCTCTATTTTACTGCTGTTTTTCTCCTGGAGACCCACACTGTGAGGCAGGCTTGCATGGAAGGAGCTGTTGACGTTCATTCCAAAAGCCTTGCCTTCTAAGTCTGCCTTATGAAATGTGTACATCCAGGACGTGTGCACTGTATGCCGCAGACAGATTCAGAAATGCTGTTACACTCACGCGGCCTTTACTGCACCCTGAGCTCCTCAGCCCTGACAGCAGAGTGGGATGAAGGGGCCCCCATGTCTGGGCTCCTCCAGACAGAAAACTGCAGAGGATGGAATGCTTTCTCCTGGGGGGCAGAGTGAGGCTCCTGCGGTGCCCGGATGCACCCTCTCCTCCTGCTCCTCGCAGTCCTGTCTTCTCTGTGACTGCCCCTTTCATGGGAATATACTACCTTTTCCTCCTCTCCTTGCTGTCTTATTTGCTAAGCTCTTTCAAAAAGGGTACACTTAGATACCTGCCTGGCACCCAGAACTTTTTCCCATGCTCTTATACAAATATATTTGTATCACTTTCTATTAATTTTACAAAATTTGGGAGTTCATTATAGTGTTTTGATACATGTATATAACATACTTTGATCATGTTCATTCCCCAGTACCCTCCCTTATACTTTTTCTCTGCTAATATTATTCCTCTCCTCTTATCCAATAATAGTCTTCCTCACACTGAACACTTTAAACATGTTTGTATGTCTGTATTAAACCATAGTGCCAAGCATTATTGTTCTTCTCCCCACTCTTTGGGAAAACTGTACTATTGGTACACACCTTAGGTATATGTACAAACTCAGATCATGTGTTGTGGTGATGGAATATTTGGAAAATTCCTGGCAGCTTGCTGGCCTGGGGGAGAGGGTGGGGCTCCTCAGAGGCCCTGTATGTTATCCCTGTGGCACCAGCTTGTAGATCCTCCCTGTCTCAGACCCAATGAGATCTGCGGATTAGTGGATACTTGTTCCATCTCAGGTACAGCTTGCTGCCCTGAACTCCGACCAGTTCCTTCTTGAGTGTGACAGGAGCCCTGATCAGTTGATTTCATGCTTTCAAATAGCCATGAATACTGGCAACGGTGAGGGATGAACTGATCATGATCTTGCCGAAAGTTAGTTTGGCCAACAGCAGTGATGCTCCAAGTGTACTGACCCTATCTCCTGGCCTGGTGATGATTTACCTCTGCCAGCCAGAGATACCTGCAACTGTTCTTTGCAGGATCCATGTACTGGCGTGTCTAACACTATAGGTCCTTCAATATTTAACACTGGCCAGTCTGTTGATGTTCTTAGGGAGATCCAACAGCCATTATTAAATGAACAAAAATCTGCTACTGCTCAATTTTCCATAGCTACCTATATGAGATATAGCTCATTTTATAGTCAAAGCTTGAAGTTCACCTGGTCATATAAATTTCAAGTTAGGCCCAGTGCTTGAAATCAGTTTTTCTGTCACATGTCATAATCTCTCTGTTAAGGTTGATGTGATTCTTCCCATTTCTTATGCAGGATGAATTAATGAGATACATTTCTGAGGGCTGCCCCGGAATCCTGTATCTCAACCTCTCTAACACAGCCATCACCAACAGGACGATGCGACTCCTGCCCAGGTAATGCTTGTGTCACTTGTCCTACACTGGTGCCCTCCTTTCTTCTGCCCTGCCTCTGTGGTAGTTTGGTCATTGGTCCTTCACGTTGGCCAGTTCTCTGTCCCTTTTGTAGCTGTGTGCCCAGCAACTTGAGTTAGACCTTGTCTATCTCCTTTATCTCCTCCTGGTCCCGCTTCTGGGCTCTGGAGCCTGGCATCTAGGTTCCAGTCTGATGTCTGGGACCTTACTGTACCAGAGCCCCAACACAACCTCTTTCTTTGACCACCACTGTCCCAGACTCTGTTACTATGCTCTGGGTTTCTGTTGCAACCCACCACTTCCACGCAACCAGGTACTTTGGGTTTAGACTACTCGTGGTTTCTTACATGCTCAGGCATGGATGTTGCTTCACTCTAGCCTGGACTCCTTAGGACTAGGGACAGAGCAATGCAACAGTGGACAGCACATTTCAGTGTTATAGCAATGCTAATTAAGAATATGCAGTCATACTGGGTCAAATTTGAATTTGGGTAAACTTTTCTGAAACTATTGCTCAAGAATGAGTTATTTTTGAGAATGTAACTTTTTGAGCTCCTTTGAAAAATAACAATGACAATACCCAGAAAAGCTTAAACAGTGAAAATTCTGGGTGCTTAATTTTCTTTATCTCATGGTTCTAACCATTTTCCACAAACACAAACATCAAAAGAGTGTTCCCATATTTTCTATTTATTCCATTAATTGAAGTAGTGTTTTATTTGGTTAAATCTATGAAAACTTCTTTTGAAATTTCTTCTGAAACATTTAAACAGAATCTCCCCTCCCAACCAGGCATTTAATATGCAATTTACTTATTTTTTTTGTTTATTACTTAAGTATGTAATCAGTCTAGAATGCATTTTTGTAGATGAATGAAGCAGAGATCTAAACTAGCAGACAACAAAATATGACCCGTGTGACACAAGGTCCGATTTGTTGGTGTCCACCAGCCAAGAAGAGCTTTACATTTCAGAGCTGTTAAATGGCCAATCAGTTGTCCAGCACTACTGATCCACAAAACTTTGTCGGATGATAGGTGATTCTTCTATACATCTTTAGAATTCCTATGTAGGCAAAGAATATTTAGAATCCATCACTTTCTAAGAACCAACCAAATAGCTCAGTGTATTAAAGCACCTGCAAGCAGGAGCAGGGACTAGGAGTTCAATCCCCCTGGCCTGCGGTGCTGGCCCCGCCTCCAGGGCGCGCTGAGACATGACTGAGACTGGGTGTGGTGGTGAAGGCCTGTAATTCCAGCACTTGGGAGGATGTAAACTGGAGAATCACTATGAGTCCAATTTAATAGTGAGACCCTGAACACCCTGTAGACCCTTCCCTAAAATACAGAAAAATAAATAAATAAAATTCATCACTCCGTAATATTTCTCTGCATGTTACTTTTTTTCCCCTGCATGTTACTTTAATCTGTGTTCTTGAGGCTATTTATGTTTACTGTATCTCTCTGATGAAATGTTTCCGCTTGGTGTAACTCTCATTGTAGCTTGAAATTGGCCAATTGGGAATATTCCATAGCAGGGAAAATGGCAAACACTACACATCAAGGCATGATTTACTGTTTTGTTGATTATTTAGACTTAAGAAAGTGATAAAAGAGGCAATAGAGCAAATAAGATTTAAAAGCAGGCCATAACTGTAGTCAAACATTGTATGTAGTACAAAAAATTGAGGAAATATTCTTTCACGACTTGAAAATTATGTTTCAGCAGAGAAGGCACTCATCTCATTGATGGATGGGCATACGCCTCTGTTTATCAAACTCGTTAATGTAAATTAATGTAATGTTTGAACAAGTGAGCATTATGTAATTCATATGAAACTACACTCATTCCTCAGTTACAGCTAGTGGTTGGCTGGCTGCATTTGTAAACATGTGGCAAGTCACTGAAAGCACTGTGAGAGAACTGAACTCCATACAGAATTCACAATCAAGCATATTATGTATCTTATTATTTTCAAATTGGATGCTATACAACCTTTCTATATGTATAAGAAGAAAAATTATCATACTCATTCAATTAAAAATTATAATAAACTTAGATAAATTTACATGGGCTTCTTAAGGAGCCAGTTTTTAGATGTTTACTCGTACACTGATAATTAAAGATAAACTAGGAACTGATTTCTAGTCTTATACAAGTTGATCTTCCTATCAGAACATATCATATTTTAAAGTGTTTTTTTCAAAGTTCTTAAATATCTCAGTAAAATTTTGTTTTACTCATGTTGTAATGTTTGTGAAAGTTATTTCTTGGTATATTTTTATTGTCATTGTGCATAGTAGTAGCCTTTTTATTATATATTCTTATAATATTTTCTCATTATAGTTTCTAAGTACTCATTTTTGAACTGAAATGTGATATACAGGCCTCATTTTATATTTCATTTCAATGATTTATTTTTTAAAAAATAAATAAGGCTGTGAAATTACCTCTAAATAAGAATTTTGGCAAAGCTTTTTAGATTTGGTAAGAATTATTTTTATTTTCTAAGGAAATTCGTCTATATTTTTGTTCTCCTCTGACCTAGTAATTACTTAGAGAAGTTTCAGTTCCAAGTGGTTGATGTTTCTTTGATTAAGCATCTGTTCTTAATTATGCACTGTATTCAAAAAATATGTCTTGAATTATCTCTACTTTTTGGAATTTATTGGGATTACTTGGTGGACTCGTTTAACATTAATTTCAGTAAATTGTTCATGAATGTTTAAAACAAAAAGCTTGTTTGACAGAATATAGTTCTGTGTATGTAAGCATGTGCCTCTAACCTCTTGATATGCCCAACGACAGTAGTATCATATTAGCTGCCTATTATAATCAAACTTCTTTTGATTTGTGATATTATTTTATAAAGATTAATAAGTGTCATCTTTCATTGTAGAATATAGCTTCATATAAAATTCTATCTTTTTCATGGTTGATATTCCTTTTCTATAAATTATTTTTAATCTACCATAATTAACTTTGCTTTTGTTTATGATACTTGTGAAATAACTTTATATGTTCCTGTATTTTTAACCTCTGTGTTATTGAATTTTAGTTCTGTTGTTTTATATGTTGTATATAGCCAAGTTCTATTTTTAAAATTTCCATTTCCTTGCCTTTTGAAGAGGAAGTTTTAAAGGTCAGTATTTCCGGTCAAAGTTGAATTTGTGGTCTTATATTTTATCACCTTTTATGTTTTAATTTTCCAATTACTGCACTGTATCCAGTGTTTCTGCCTTTTACTACATGATGGTTAGTTTTGTGATTTAAAGATGTTTGAAAGGCATATACAGATTCTGTTATGTATTGTAACTATTGGCTCTCTCTCTGTCTCTCTGTGTCTGTCTGTCTGTCTGTCTGTCTGTCTGTCTGTCTCTCTCTCTCTCTCTCTCTCTCTCTCTCTCTCTCTCTCTCTCTCTGGGCTTTAATATGCATTTGTCTAATTACCAAAGCCAAGGTGAGGCTAAGACTTGATTCTCCCTATTACAGAAGAGTGCTAATACATTAATTCTTCCTCCACTTCTCTAAACTTGACAGCTTTTCTTGTCCACTCCCCTGTGTGAAAACAACTATCATCCATGGTTTTTGCTAATCATTTAACTTTCCTTTGAATATTTATTTCTAGTGTTTGTAATTAATATTGTGAATTTCATTACTATGATCATGTAATCCAAACTGGTTGGAGCCATTCATTGGAGGAGCCTCTCATCCCCAATGATGAGATAGAATTTTAAACATTTTCATTAGCACATACTTGCAGTATATGTTCACTTCCTTGTGTGGAGTTGTACACATACATAACACATCTTAACTCACTTTTTCACCCATTTCCTTCACTCTCTTCCTCTTTCCATGCCCTTCTCATCTGAGAACAATGTGTCTCCCTAGTTCTCATCCTTTTATTTTGCGCTTTATTTATAATTTGAGTTTCCCATGTAAGAGAAAGTATTATTTAAGCTTGTGTATCTGATTTATTCTTTATATCATTATGATTTAAAGGCATATTCATTTTCCTACAAAGGACCAAGTTTAGACTGGGAAATAATTCAAATTTTTTTCAAGAAAGATGTGTGAGGGCTGGCCAGATAGCTCAGCAGATTAAAGCACCTGCCTAAGCAGATGCTGGGGCCAGAGGCTCAATCCCTGGCCTGCCCTGCCGGCCCCGCCACCAGGGTGCACTGAGACAACTACTGAGACTGGGAGTAGTGGTGCGTGCCTGTAATCCCAGCACTTGGGAGGCTGAAAACAGGAGAATCACTGAGTCCAATCTGTGTAGTGAGACCCTGTAGACCCTGTACTAAATACACAGAGAGAGAGAGAGAGAGAGAGAGAGAGAGAGAGAGAGAGAGAGAGAGAGAGAGATTGATTCGTGAGGGTTAGACTTTTCAGGAAAATGATTACTATCCTGGAGATTGTATAACAATTCCTCTTTGTATATAGGTCTTCCATCATGTTCTTTATTCTATCTTAAAACTTCACAAAAACTCAGATATTTCAGGTTAAAGAGAAGTCAAAAGCCAGAATAATTTTCTGTTCCATCACTTGTAACCTGTCTCTTTTTTTCTGCCAAGATGTTTGCAAGACTTTTCTTTTTTTCTGAGTATTAAAGACATTTTCAGGCTTAATTGTGTTCTTTCAAGTAATTTTTGTTGGAACACAATAACCTCTTGAGTATTAAATCTTGAATTAGTTTCTCAGCCAGGAGAAGGATTTCTTTTTTGAATACTTCTATCCATATGCTCTGGGTTTATTTTAAGAGCCCTCCCTTATTTTTAGATCAGCTGTTATTCCTTTCTTCAAAGCTGTCAGCTTTGCTCTTACCACTTCTGTCTATCTATGCATCTCCATCAGCATGTTGCCTTCTCTATTTCAGTAGATCCTAACAAAGACAGCAACATTCTTGGAAATACCTAGTGCCTGGCCGGGGTGGCGGGTAGAGGAAGCTCTGACTGTAGGGTTTGTTGGTTTCTGTGGTGTAAG